TATGAAGTCACATTCAGTCTACTTTGAAGCAAAATAATGTAATTTAATGTTTTTTGTCAGGCTACAGAAATGTCACCAACATTTTGCTGATGTATGCAAGATGTGTCAGGATTAAATTACTATTTAGAGAATAAACAGACCTGGAGCAGAAATGGGAATCCATTTGCTTTTCACCTACATATATCATTATTTTTGAAGTGACTTTATTGTAGAAATCATATTCATCTTGAGTTTATTTTATATATGGCATGACAATATGGTCCCACTTCATTTTTTTGCATGTATCTGTCCAGTTTTCCCAACACCATTTATTGAAGAGACTATCTTTTCCTTATATATTCTTGCCTCCTTTGTCATGGATTAATTGGCCATATGTGTGGGTTAATTTCTGGGATTTCTGTTCTGTTCTGTTGATCTGTGTGTTTGTTTCGTGCCAATACTATACTGTTTTGATTACTATAACTGTATAGTATAGTTCAAAATTGGGGAGTGTGATACCTCTAACTTTGTTCTTTCTGAAGATTGCCTTGGCTGTTCTGGATCATTTATGTTTCCATATAACTTTTAGGATTATTTGTCTAGTTCTGTGAAAAATACCATGATATTTTGATAGGGATTGCATTGAATCTGTTGATTGTTTTAGGTAGAATGGACTTGTTTTTTTTTAAGATTTTATTGGGGAATTGGGGAAGGGGAACAGTGTTGGGGAATGGGGAAGGGGAACAGCCAAGTTGTTGTCCTTCAGTCTTAGTTGTGGAAGGCGCAGCTAGCTCAGCTCCAAGTCCAGTTGCCATCCGGCTGCCTGTCGGCAGCTCGCAGCCGCTAAGCCCAAGGTGCCGTGTTCCGTCTTAGTTGCGGGTGGGCACAGCCCACCATCCCATGTCGGAGTCAAACCGGAAACCTTGTTAGGAGCACGTGCTCTCACCAGCTGAGCCATCCTGCCACCTGTAGGCAGCTCAGCTCAGGCACAGCTCACTGGCCCATGTGGGAATTGAACCTGTGACCCTGTTACTAGAAGCTCCCGCTCTTAACCAACTGAACCACTCGACTGGCCCGGTAGAATGGACATTTTAACGAAATTAATTATTCCAATCCATGAGCACACTATAGTCTTCCATTTATTTGTGTCCCCTTCAGTGTTTTTCATCAGTGTCATGTAGTGTTCAGAGTATAGGTATTTCCCCTTTTTGGTTAAATTTATTCCTAGATATAGTATTCTTTTTGATGTACTTTGTACATGGGATTGTTTTCTTGATTTCTCTGATAGTTCATTGGTAGTGTATAGAAATGACACAGATTTCTGAATATTAAGTTTCTATCTTACAATTTTACGGAATTTATTAGTTCCTATAGTTTTTTGGTGGAGTCTTTAGGGTCTTCTATATATAGTATGTCATCTGCAGATAGGAACAGTTTTACTTCTTCCTTTCCAATTTGGATGCCTTTTTGTTTTCTTGTCTAATTGCTGTGACTAAGACTTCCAATACTACCAGGGGTGCCAAAAAATGTATGCACAGTTTAAGAGATGTTATCTATACTCAAGCGGTAGTTCGCTGTAATCAGAAGTGTCTGGATGCTGATGGTAACCACTTTGAGCACCTCTTGTAATTTCAGAAGTCAAATGTAACTTGTGTTCATCTTTTGTTATTGGTATTTATTGAGAATGACAATACAGTTGTTTTTTTTAAAAACGTGTACATTTTTTTGGCACCCTCTGTGTATTGAATAAAAGTGGTGAGAGTGGGCACCCTTGTCTTGTTCTTGATCTTAGGGGAAAAGCTTTAAGCTTTTCACCGTTGAGTATGATGTTAGCTGTGGATTTGTCATACATGGCCTTTATTATGTTGAGGTATGTTTCCTCTATAACCATTTGTTGAGCATTTTAGTCATAAATGGATGTTGACGTTGAATGTTTGTTCTGCATCTACTGAGATGATCACATGACTTTTATCCTTTGTTTTGTCAAAATGGTGTATTCCATTGATTGTTATGTGCGTATTGATTCATCCTTGCATCCCTGGAATAAATCCCACTTAATCTTGGGGTACGGATCCTTTTAATGTATCATTGTTGAATTCGGTTTGTTAATATTTTGTTGAGAATTTTTGCATATATGTTCATCAGGGATATTGGTCTGCAATTTTATTTTTTGTAGTGTGTTTGTCTGGTTTTGTTATCAGGGTAATGCTGGTCTCATAGAATGAGTTTGGAAGCATTTCTTCCTCTTGAATTTTTGGAATAGTTTAAGAAAGATACTTAAGTGTTTGATAGAATTCACCTGTAAAGCTGTCTGGTCCTGAACTTTTGTTTGTTGGGAGTTTTTTTATTACTGATTCAATTTTGTTACTAGTAATTGGTCTGTTGATATTTTCTGTTTTTTCCATATTCAGCCTTGGAAGATTGTATATTTCTAGAAATTTATCCATTTCTTCTAGTTGTCCAGTTTGTTGGTGTATAATTGTTCATAGCATTCTCTTATGATCCTTTGTATTTCTGTGTTGTCAGTTGTAACTTCTCTTTCATTTCTGATTTTATTTATTTGGACCTCCTCTTTTTCTTGATGAATCTGGCTAAAGGTTTATTAGTTTTATCTTTTCAAAGAACTAGTTTTTAGTTTTGTTGATCTTTCTATTGTGTTTTTAGTGTCTGTTTCATTTATTACAACTCTGATTTTTATTTCCTTCTGTCTACTCACTTTGGGCTTTTTTGTTGTTATTTTTCTAGTTCCTTTAGGTATAAGGTTAGATTGTTTATTTGAGACTTTTCTTATTTCTGTATTACTATAAACTTCCATCTTAGAATTGCTTTTGCTGTGTCCCATAGATTTTGGACCATTGTGTTACATTTTCATTTGTCTCAAGGTATTTTTTATTTCCTTTTTGTTTTCTTCCTTAACCCATTTGTTGTTTAGTAGCATGTTGTTTAGCCTCCATTGTCTATGTTTTTTCCATTTTTTGTCTGAAATTGATTTCTAGTTTCATACCATTTTGGTCAGAAAACATGCTTCATATAATTTCAGTCTTCTTAAATTTACTGGGACTTGTTTTGTGACCTAACGTGATCTATTCTGAAGAATGTTCCATGTGCACTTTGAAAAGAATGTGTATTCTGCTGTTTCTAGATGGAATGTTCTGTAAATATCTATTAAGTTCATCTGATCCAATGTGTTGTTTAAGGTCGGTGTTTCCTGTTGATTTTAAGACTGGATGATCTATCCATTGATGTAAGTGGGTTGTTAAAGTCCCATACTATTGCTGTATTACTGTCAATTTTCCACTTATGACTTAATTTTTTTTATTTAAAAAAATTTTATTGGGGAATTGGGGGAGGGGAACAGACAAGTTGCTGTCCTTTTATTCTTTCGTCTAGTTGTGGAGGACATTGCTTCACTGGCCCATGTTGGTGTTATCATTGAGCTCTTCCTGGGTGAGGCAGTCGTTCGCCTGCCATTGGACAGCCGCTCACGGCGGCTCATGGCAGCTCGTGAAAGCTCATGCCTGCTGCCAGCCAGCCTCACTGTAGCCTACGCTGTCGCCGGCGACTAACAACAGCCCAGCTCCAGGTCGAGCTGTTGTTCACCATCTTAGCTGTAGAGGGTGCAGCGTCACTGGCCCTCATGTTGGATCTGAACTGGGCCCTGCTGCTCAGAGCTGGCGTCCCAAGCCAACTCCTAACCAACGCGCCACTCTGCCGGCCCATTTAATACTTTCTTTATATATTCAGGTACTTCTGTGCCGGGTGCATAGATGTTTACGAGTGTTATATCCTCTTGTTGGAATGATTCCTTTATCATTATGTAGTGCCCTTCTTTATCTCTTGTTACAGTCCTTATTTTAAAGTCTGTTTTGTCTGATACAGGTATTGCTACTCCAGCTTTCTTTTCTTTTCCATTTGCATGAAATATCTTTTTACATCCCTTCACTTTCAGTTTATCTGTGTCTTTAGATCTTAAGTGAGTCTTGCAGACAGTATAAATATGGGTCTTTTTTTTTTTCTTTTAACATCTGTTCAGCTGCCTTGTGTCTTTTGATTGGAACATATAGTCCATTTACATTTAAAGTAATTATTGATAGTTATGTACTTATTGCCATTTTATTAATTATTTTCTGGGTTTTTTTTTTTGTGATTCTTCTCTGTTCCTTTCTTTTCTTGCTTTCCCCCTTTACCTTGATGACTTTATTTCGTGTTACATTTGGATTCCTTTCTCTCTATTCTTGGGCAAGCTCTTAACCAACTGAGCCACTCGGCCAGCCTTGGGTTTCTTTTTATGTCTTCCTGTTGCCTAGTGCTCTCATTTAAGAGCTTTTCTAATTATCATTTGTGTTGTTTTAAAGCTTCTTTTTCTTTTCTTTGGTTTATCTTGTAATATTAGGTTATGGTTTTCATCTCCTTTAGGCCATATTTTTTGCTATATCTTCATTTTCTAATAGAACAAGTGTACTGTTCATGTTACTGATATCATCTTTTTCTTATCATTGTATTGGGTTTGATGAAGAGCCCTTTTCTGTGGCTCATGGTTATTTCCTTCCTGTGCATTTTAAGTGCATTATGTAACATTAAAATTTTATTACCTCTGATGATGTTAAGCTCTAACTTACAACCTATTAAACTATAAGCTGTTGTAAATTAGGTACCATATCCTTTTCTTTTGCAATATGTTGTACTTAGGAAAGTGGTCTGTCTGGGTCACCTGATATTGACACCATGCTTTCCCTGTAGTCTAGCATTCTCAGCTATTGTAAATTATTGTATATCTGTGTCATAATATAATGTTTTCATAATGTCTAGCTATTTCACTGGGTATTTGTAATTGAAAGATAAATACTTCTAAAAAATATTCACTAAACAGATCTTGAAACTGAGTTTGCTAGTACTCCACCCCCGTCCCATTTCTAACAAAGCAACCTAATTAATGTATAGGATTAGTAATACATTTGTTGCTGGAATATTTGTGTTAATTAGTTAGCCCTGATATGCCTCTGCTGTTTCTTTTGTTTTAGGTTAAATGGAAACCACCCTTGGGAGCTGGATGCTTGTGTAGCCGTCCTGTCGCATCAGTGAATTGCAATGAGTGGAGGAGGAGAGCAGCCGGATATCCTCAGTGTTGGAATTCTGGTCAAAGAAAGATGGAAAGTGGTGAGTATAAATCTTGGGGGGTGGGGGGAAGGGAGAGAGAGAGAGCATTTAGTAATTTTGGGTGTCTTGATAAAAATAGCATTTCATTAGGAAATAACACATATATTTCTTGTTAAAGCAGTTATTTTCAGTTTTTTCCCTATGATTAAGTTTGGTTTATACCCAAATTCTTATTCTTGCTTCATATAGTAGTAAATTGCCCTAACCTCTCAGAGCTAAGTAAGGTAAATAAAAGTATACTTGGGGGAAAAAACAAAGAAAAAAATGGAGTACAATGAACTGCTTTCTTTTTTATTTTTTTACTTTTTATTAAGAAAAATTGTAAGTATACATAAAAATGGCGATACTGATATAATGAACCTCCATGTACGCATGTACCTGCTTAAATATTTATCAAGTTGTGATCAATCTTGTTTCATCTCTTTAACCTCACTCCCCCAATTTTTTTATTTTTTAAGATTTTATTGGGGAATTGGGGGAGGAGAACAGCATTGGGGAATCGGGGAAAGGGAACAGACAAGTTGCTGTCCTTTTGTTCTTCAGTCTAGTTGTGGAGGACGTCGCCTCACTGACCCATGTTGGTATGATCATTATGCTCTTCCCGGGTGAGGCAGCTGCTCGCCGGCCATTGGAAGGCCGCTCACTGCAGCTCATGGCCACTCACGCTGGCTGCCGGCCACTCATGGTAGCTTACGGCAGCACACTGTCTCCCCACTGCAGCCTATGCCATCGCTGGAACTCATGGCAGCCCAACTCCAGGTCGAGCTGTTGTTCACCAGCTTAGCTGTAGAGGGCACAGCGTTACTGGCCCTCATGTGGGATCTGAACTGGGTCTCTGCTGCTCAGAGCTAGCATCCCAAGCCAACTCTTAACCAATGTGCCACTCGGCTGGCCCCCAAAATATTTTTAAGCAGATTATTCCCCTTTGCATTTTTCTATACTTTAGTATGTATCTCTAAAAGATAAAGACTTCTCTTTAAAATATAGTCATAATATCATCACACCTAAAAACATAATCATTTCTTAATATCATTAAGTATTTGCTTTTACATTTCCCTGATTTTTTTTTTTTTAAGATTTTTATTGGGGAATTGGGGGATGGGAACAGCGCTGGGGAATTGGGGGAAGAGGAACAGACAAAGTGCTGTCCTTTTGTTCTTCAGTCTAGTTGTGGAGGACGTTGCTTCACTGGCCCATATTGGCACCATCATTGCGCTCTTCCCAGGCGAGGCGGATCAGTCACCGGCTTCTGGACAGCCACTCACTGTGACTGCTGGCCGCTCACACTGGCTGCTGGCTACACACGGTAGCCCATGGCAACCCACTGCAGCAGGGGCTGCAGCCTACGCCGTCGCCAGCGACTCACGGCAGCCCAGTTCCAAGTTGAGCTGTTGTCCAGCATCTTAGCTGTAGAGGGCAGTGTCACTGGCCCTCATATGTGGGATCCAAACCAGGGCCCTCTGGCGTCCCAAGCCAGCTCTTAACCAATGTGCCACTCGGCCGGCCCTCTCTGATTGTTTTGTAAGTTATTTTTAACAGTTTGAATCAAATCCAAATAAAGTCTGGATATTAAAATTGGTTGACATCAGTTAAGCATTTTTAAATTTCTAGGTATGTTTTATCTATCTTTTTTTCCCTTACATTTTATTTGTTGGAGAAACTAGGCCATTTGTCTGTAAAATTTCCCATGGTTTGTGTTTTTCTGATTGCTTCCATGTGGTGTTAATATGTTTCTCTGTCATGTATTTTATATAAATTGTTAGTTATATATAGAGTCTTATTAGGTCTAACGTCAAATCTAATCTGAAGTGGGGGCATTTTTTTTCACAGGGTATTGTGAACTTTCAATAGTAGGCACATGTAATGTCTTATTGCTCATCTTATATGGTGTTAGTACTGTGGATCATCATTGTGTAGGTGTGTTAATTCATTTGTGATTAAAGATTGGTGATATTCTACCATTCTTTCATTTATTAGTTGAAGTACATCTATAAAGAAAATTTTCTCATCATCAGCTATTTGATTATCCTGAAGTATAACTTGATTAAGAAAGCAGAATAAATACTTGATTCTTTTTCCTTAATTTACCAGTTTTCAAAATAATGAATTGATTCCCTAGTATCATCCAAAAGTGACCAATGAGATTTTTAAAAATATGATTAACAATTTATGAGTTTAAACATGTTAAATGTGTTTCAGACCATTGTAGTTCTTGTCATTATTAATGCTCAAATTGTCTCATTTAACTAAGGGGACACCCTTCAAATTGTCTCCTGAATTCTTTTAACATGAACCTAATAGTCTTTTGATGGCTTCCTTGCCCTAGACTTGCAATCAGCCATCTCTCTTCCTCTTAAAGTAGCTATTTTTGTTTTGGATATACTTAAATATATTTTATTGCTAGTCTTTTGTTATCCAAAGTTTTTTTTCTATTTACCAGGTTTAGCAAAGCTATTCAGTGTTTTCCTTAATCTATCAATAGATTGGAAAAATAAAATTCTTCATTTAAAGGTAGATTGGAAAAAGAAAATTCTTCATTTAAAAGTACAAATTTTGTTTCTGTGGTACAGTGTTTTAATGATTAGGCAAATCAGTAGGTTTAGAAAATTTACTTGAGGGGCCAGCCGAGTGGTGCGTTGGTTAAAAGCTGGCTTGGGATGCCAGAGGGCCCCAGTTCGGATCCCACATATGAAGGCCAGTGACACTGCCCTCTACAGCTAAGATGGTGAACAACAGCTCAACCTGGAGCTGGGCTGCCGTGAGTCACCGGCAATGGCATAGGCTGCAGCCCCTGTGGCAATGGGTTGCCATGGGCTATTGTGTGTAGCCAGCAGCCAGCATGAGCGGCCAGCAGCCGCTGTGAGCGGCCGTCTAGAAGCCGACGACTGATCTGCCTTGCCCAGGAAGAGCTCAATGATGGTGCCAACTTGGGCCAGTGAAGCAACGTCCTCCACAACTAGACTGAAGAACAAAACAGCAGCAACTTGTCTGTTCCTCTTCCCCCAATTCCCCAATAAAAATCTTTAAAAAAAAAAAAAAGAAAAAGAAAATTTACTTGAGTAAATATGAGAAATAACCATAATCATCATGGACTGGTACAGGGAGGTTCCAACAATTGATAATCTTTTATGTAAGTCAGGAATGAGTGTTGCTTTGATGAGAATTATGTGTTAAGTGCTGCAATAAAGGTTGGCTGTTCTCCAGTAAACATATCACAAAGTGGCAAATAAAGTTATGCCTGGTTTAGTTGCTCTGTCCTGGTAATTAGAACTAATATATATGTGGAACATGTCCCCCAAATTTGAAAGGCATAGTGACATTTTTAGTGAGAAACTACAGGCTCATTGTTAAGGATGGTGTTTTGGTTATCCACTGTTATGTAACAAACTACTGTACATGAAAACTTAGAGGCTTAGAATAATCAGTCATTTTGCTCACAATTTTGTGGGTTTAGGAAGTTGAGAAGAGTTTGCCTGGGTGGTTTGTCTCTTAGTCATGTGGCACCAGCAGGTTTGGTTGGGTTGGAGGATTCACTTCCAGATGGCTTGTTTGGTGCCTTGGGATCCTTAGTTCCCCCAGCCCCCAACCTGGTGGCTCATATTCTAGGACTGCTTCACAGAACTATGGCTTCTGAGGAGGCCATGGTGGCTGGCTCTTGAGAGACAGGAAGCAGAAGCTCTAAGGCTGGTTGAGGACTATTATCAGAATTTGTGCAGTGTTACTTTTCCATGTTCTGTTGGTTAAAGCAGTCATAAGATTCACACATATTTAAGGGGGTGGGAAATGAACTCTCCCTCTTGTTGGGGGAGTGGCAAAGTCACCCTAAAGAAGAGCAAAAAGGATCGGTGATATTGTGGTCATCTTTAGAAAACACAGTCTGCCATAGGCCTTACCTTTATTCTTTCCCTAATCTGCATACCCCCATCATACTAAACTGCCTCTGTCTCTGCCTCATAAGCATTGATGTGTCAGGGCTTTGTCAAGCTCAATAAAAAAATTAATGCTCTACTGTTGTTCAAAGGACATTATAGGAATAGGCCATGGAGAAAAATCATTTACTTCGGCCTAGATTTTTTTGTTCCATCATTTGGTAAGTTTTTTTTGGGGAGGTAAAACCTGAAGTCACCTCTCATCACAGTCCATAATTAGAAAGATGTCCCTTTGGTAATGTTTATAAGTTTTTAAAGTTACACTAGGCTTTGTTAAATGAACCAAAATATAAAGAATTGTAAGTACCACTCAGGGCCCAACAAAGAGTAATTTATTTAACTGAAATTAATTCTGGAACTTTGTTTTAATCCCCAAATCATACCAGAGTTCTTCATGGTATTTCTTCCCATCACCAAAGCAGAATAAAGAAGGACTGTGGCTCATATATACAAAGCAATGAATAATTACTTAGCAGTAGCTATATAGTTACCACTTTGCCAAGTATTTTGGGGAAAACAAAAAATAAATGAAGTAGCCCTCTCTTTGAAGAAGCTTAGTTTCTCTGAGGGGGCTAGGACATTGACAATGGAAAGTTAACCAACATAAGAGTTAAAAAGCAGGATGGTGTGTTAACACAAGTGCTATCTGAGGCATTTAGCCTAGTAAAATGATTAAGCAAATAATCCCTATAGAAATTCAGAAGATAAATAAATCAGCCTACAGTAATCAGGACTGATCCAGTGGAGAAAGAAGTAGGACTTGAGGTGAGTGAGGCCTCTGGGGTGGTTGGGATTTGGACTCTGCCTTCAGTGATTTCCTACATTGTATCACATCCTAGATGTTTGATAATGTGATAAGAAGACCTAGTTTCATGAAATGAAAGAAAGCTAATTGCATGTTATGTCTAGCTTGAAGTATAATCACCCACACCCCTCCCACCCCACTTTCCCACAGCTCTCCAGGTCCAGTTATCACTAGCTTTTCAGAACTTGTTTATAATACTGAGAACAGAGATCCTGATATTTCCAGTTAAGCTAACACATTTTATCAGGAATAATATTAAGTGTTTGATGAAAGTGTTTAATTTGATAGAGCTTACTCTTATTTGAGCATATTGGTATGTAATGAACTCGGGGGTAATTTAGAACAGGAGCTAGCTACCTGCTCTTTGGAGTCTGGTTAGTGCCTCAGAGAGGAGGGTAAATGGTGCAGAGAAGGTTGGGCTCTGGCTGCCCCATTCTCACCCCCAGCCTTTCCACATTCACAGCTCAACCAGGTTCCAGATAAGATTTCAGTTGGCAAAAAGATTTCATTGTTTAAAAAGTCTTCAAATGATTGCCTTAGGATTAAAACAACAAATCTGGTTGTTAAGGGGCATTTGTGGCAAGTGAAGCTTTTCAGATACTGGTTTTTTTTGTGACAGTTCTGATGCTGGCTGTGGACTAAATTTTTAAATTGTTTGTGGCTGAAATTATTTTATTACTTTTTGTGTACAAACCTGTGGGAAAAGGTTCTGATGTTATTTCTAGACATATGATTTCTTCTTGGCATATTCATGGTCAATTTAACAATATTGAGATCTTTTATCATAAATTAGCAACAGTAAAATTATATATTGTTTTCTAAATTTCAGAGATTAATTTGTTTCCAGTTAGAACCTTCTAGTAATTTTGTGTGTGTATGTTTTTATTATGCAGTTGAGGAAGATTGGGGGTGGGGGCTTTGGAGAAATTTACGATGCCTTGGACATGCTGACCAGGGAAAATGTCGCACTGAAGGTGGAATCAGCTCAACAACCAAAACAAGTTCTGAAAATGGAGGTTGCTGTATTGAAAAAACTACAAGGTAAGCTGCTTTTGTATGATATACCAAACAATGTATAGTTAATTGTTATCTTTCCGAACCTCAATCATATTCACTAACTAGTAATTGCATATTCTCATGTGAGATTGGTATAAACATGCTGAGCATTTTGCCCTTGGAACTTTTATCACTAGCTAGCAGTAGTAGAAATATTGATTGCTTAGAATAACTGGACTTTGGGAATTCCTTTCCACGGTAAGGATGACAGAGTGAATTATCTGAAACATTTTGCTTTAGAAAGTGTTTTCATAAGTCTGTTATGGTAAAATTATTCGTCGTCTTCTTTTAAAACAACCAAAATAAATACCTCTGAGTTGTTTCTACTTATGTCTTTGGATGTTAAACATGCTTTAATCACATGAAGGAAGCTGCCTTCGAATCACACTGCAGGATGGAATAAAAATAACAATATTTGTTACATATTGATTTTATTAACTTCAGTTTCATAGTAGAATTCTTTCTGGCCCTATCTTTATTTTTGAGGTCTATTTTACTGCTTGGGTTTCTCTTTTTTTGCTACAAGGATATATAATTTTTTTCTGACATCAGTCCAGTGATGTAAAACCCTGAATACATTGCTAGTTTGTATTCATCATTGTATTTTCAGTTTAATGACTTAATAGTATATTATTGATTTTTAATTGTTGTGTTTGAATCAAAATTAAATAGGGGTCATTAGCACATTAAGTGATTTTGTTACACTCTAGAAGGCTTGGTATTGTTATGGGACATTCATTAGTATCTAAAGGAATTTAGTACTAACAGAGAGCAAAGGAAGTTGCTGTAATTAGTGGAAATAACTATAGTTGGTAGAAATAGCAAGGACAAAATACTGTGTAGCCTAGGACCTTCATTCATGGCTGTATAGTCTAAAGTGAATGTGTTCTCTTTGTGAATCTTAATTTCTATTAAGTTAATGAAATGTGTACTATGTATTCCAGAAACATCTAGTATTTAATTTTGCCCTTTGCCTTAAGCTTTCTGATTATCCAAGTTTGACTACAGTTGGCTCATTTGATTAGAGCATGATGCTAATAAAACTGCAGACTTGTTTAATAGTTATTTTTAGCCCAAACTTAGCTCTTCTGAAACGTGGAAATCAAGAAGACAGTGGATATGTACCCACTGTCAGTACTAGGAAAAAAATGGATAATTGGCGAAGGAAGAATAGGGAAAAAGATGTCCCTCTCTTTTTCTGTTTCTCATCATATCTCCTTTCTCCTTATTTCTTTTGAGCTGTTCTCAGCTCAGTGACATAGAGGCCACAGACAGGTATAGCTGGAGCTACGTGTTCCTAAGGTGACAGATTCTAGGAGATCTGTTTTACTCTCAGCTAAACCCATGAAGGGTATGTCAGCATCATCTTGGCCTGGACAACTTCACCTGTCTGTATCCTATGTGGCCCTAAGGAGATGCTTCTAAGTAAGGCAGGATACAGCTCTTTATCTTTCAGTAGGTTCTCCTGCCTATTTTGACCATGGTTTACTCAGGATTCTATGTGATAATGCTTGAAGATCAGTTTAGTACCTTTTAATGGATGAATTGGAGACTCTTGGATGTTAAGTCTCTCCTTTCCTTCTATTTTATCTTTCCTACTATTACCTAACATGTTTTTCCTATCTGCTTATAATCACATGACGTTCTGTTCCTCAGACCCCTTCACTTTCCAAAAATTAATAGGTTTTTATCTTCTGGTCTGTATTTCAATGAGGCAGCCCTTGACTTTTTTTTCTTGGCTTCCTAACTTATGCCTTCTATACTTCTTTTTGTTGAGAGTGCTTTGGAATCTAGACACTTTTGAGAACATTTTATGGGGCTGAACTGATTTTGTCTTCCTGTTGGCATAATAACTTTGTACCTAGTGACCCCAACAAAAAGAATAAGTGTTTAAGGAAAAGGTAAATAACCAGAAACTAATAACTCTGTATAGGGTTGGTTGGTTTCAAATTGATACTCAATTTTTGATAGCTGGTATAAAGATTTGTTATGATGTATTTAGCCTGAACCCTAAGTTTTGTTCTTTTTAATAAATCAATCCCCCTTTTCAAAACTCTCATAATTTCTTTTCCTGGATTCCCTCAGTTCTCAGTTTTCTCTGTTTTTCCTGTACTTAACAATTCTAGATTTCCTCAGTTTGTGCATAACTCTCATTACCAGTATGTTCCTTTCTCATTGGGCCTGAAGTTTGAAGACCTTAGCATTTTACTCCATCTTTTCTTCTGAATGACCTTCTCATGCTATTACATCAGATTATTCTCCTTTCAAAGTTCTCTGAACTGTTCTAGATACTGACTACAATTCTGTGTTGAATCAAGCTAGACCCCTAAGATGTACTTGGTTTTTACAAATGTGTTTGAATGGTTTAGTAACTTCTAAAACTAAACTGTCTCTGGGCCTATTAGATAGTACTTCTTCTATACTCAATTCTCCAAAGTATCCCTAGTGAAGAAATCCATAAAACTTACTAAGCTTTTCCTTTTATTAATATTACTGTTCTGAGATACATCTCTGTGTAACCATTTATTTGTTTTTTCCTTCTCTTCATTTGTGACTATACTATCTTCTAACCTTTGTTTTTCAATTTATTTGCTTTGAAACTTGATGCAAAGGGGATAATTGGCTCCCTAGTCAGTTAGATTCTTTCTTCTTCTTCTCTCCCATCTTAAATAAATGTTTTTATTGTGATAGCCTACTTATCTTCACTTCTTCATTTTCATGATCTCTTGTGCTATATTTCATCATACTACTTAAAAAAAATAAATACAGTTTTGCGTGCAGTGCTGGTATAACAGTAAAAAAACTTCTGTCCTGTAATTTCAAATCTAATCACTAATAATTCTGTAGTACCTCAGGAACCTACCATCAATACTTTTTAAAAAGTTAGATTTCCATTCCAATCTTAACAAAATTTGATCCATGTCAAGAATCCTACAAGTGAGACAGGCAAACTTTTCCCCCTAATATTTCATTATGAAAAATTCCAAATATTCAAAAAAATGGAGCATTATATAATGAACATTCATGTATTCACTACTCAGCTTCAGTAACTATCAGCATTTGTCCAATCTTGTTGCATCTGTATCTTATTCCTTTAACATTTTTCCCCACCTTGCTGGTGTATTTGAAAAGAAATTTAGATATTATATCATTATAAATAATTCAGTATGTATCTCTTAACAGATAAGGACTCCTTTAAAAAATGAAAATATTCTTTATTTCATAGGGTTATGAATTGCCAGACAGGGCAATTCAATTTATGGAGTTGAGGTGGGGAGGTGTTTGGCTATATCAAAATTTGAGGAACATTGCTTTGCCTATGAGAGCTTTGTTAATGATTGATAATTTTGTGAATCCATTAAATTGTATCTGTTGGAGCATAGAAAGTCTTATTCACTTAACCTTTCCAAAAAAACAAAACAAAACAAAACAATACTATGAGAACACATTAGCGGTAGTTTATATTAAACTTTAGGAAAATTTGGGGGATCTGTATTATTGAAAAGTGAAGTAATAAGGCTGTGGAAACTTCTCAGTTGACCAATTTTAAGCATGGATTAGAGAACCTTATTGGAGAAGAGGAAGATCATGTTCCAGTTTTTCTTTAACTTTACTTTTTAGAACCTATTGTTTACAGCAAAATTGAGCAGAAAGTAGAGTTCCAAAATCCCCCACCACTGCCCTCCCCCCCCAGCCTTCCCTATGATTAACATCTTACATTAGAGTGGAACATTTGTTACAGTTGATGAGCCAATATCTATACATTGTTATTAACTAAAGTCCATAATTTACATTATGAGGCCCCTTTTTTAATTAAGCACAATAGCCTTAAACACCTAATGAAATTAGCTATTTCTCAATACCATCTAAAATTTAGCCAGTGTTTAATTTTTCTGAAAAATATCATTTTACAGTTGACGTCTTCAACTCAAGATTCACATATACAGTAGGCACGTTGCCTTTGGTTGACATATCTCTTAACTCTCTCTTAATCTATAAGAGCTTCCCCTCCCTACACTTTTTTTGTTTTGGTGGGGAGGGGTTGCTATTTAGCTGTTGAAAAAACTGTTGAAGTTCTTAGTTTGAGAGAATAGTCAATTCTGTATTTGGCTCATCACGTCTTTGTGGTGTCTTGTAACATGTTCCTCTATTCTCTGTGTTTCTTGTGAACGGGTCTAGAGACTGAGTGAGATTCATGTTGTTTGCTGGCAAGAGTACGTTGTCTAAATCCATTATTTCCATAAGGGTTGCAAAATGGTGATTTTTCTGATTTTTTTTCCTTCCTTCCAAATTTCTGAACTGGAATTATTCTACAAAGTAGAATTTTATTTCATCAGCTGTTTGTTCCCCCCTGAAATATGTTACTATTAGAAGAACAGGGTAAAGACTTGATTTTTCTTCCCTTTTGTTTACCAAGTTTCAGAATAATGAGTTGTACCCTAATGTGACCAGTGAGTTGTTTTTTGTTTTGAGTATCACCATAAGCTCATGGGTTCTTATATATTTCAACCTATTGCAGTCATTCTTTTGATGCTCAAATTTTCATGTCTTTGGCTAATGGAAGGAAGCCCTTTTAAGTGGCTGCTCTGTCTTTCTGATGTAACTCCAGTGTTCTTTGTTATCATTTGCTTCAGGCTTTCCTTGAACTTTCCCTGCACCAGTTATAGTCAGGAACCCTCTTCCTCTAAGAAGCTCGGTTTCCTTGTATCAGGAAACAATTGAGACCACAATGTAGGCAGTAGGGCACTAATTATTATTGGGCCAACACACTTTTCTCAACATGTTTTAGTAAGTTCTAGATTTTGCCTGGTTTATTTGATGTGGACTTTTCAATTTGTTTGCATTGTTTCTTTTACTTTAAAAATACATTTGTGTCCTCTTTTAAATTGTAAGCATTTTAAAGGGCTGGGATCATATGCATTTTAACTTGACATTTATATTATGCTCAGTGGCAAAATGATAGCACAAAGTATCTTTGTATTTGG